AGGGATTGAAGGGGGTAGAAGAGAGGGTAGGGGCACCCCCCGTTACGCCCCTGAACTGGCTACATATTGCCTCTGACAATTACTTAGTAAACCACATGGCAGCCTGTCCCATGGGGACACTTTCAGCAGCTTGTGCAGATGGGTTCATGTGGCCAAGGCCTTTTCGCAGACCCCCACCCTTACCCCACATGGCAGCGTTCAATATTCATCAGGAGTGTGTCCCCAGGCTGGCTTCTCTGGTCACCCACTCTGGGTCCTGGCAGGGAGCAGGCTTGGCTGCTGGACAGAGCCCCAGCCCACACCTGCCCCACCCCAGCCCACACTCCCTCTGTGTGGTGGGGAGGGGGGCTGGGAGCTTCCCACCTTGGATTTTGTGGTAAAAACGACTGCTTCAAACTGTCTGGTGGTTTTCAGGGAATAGGTTATTATTTTAGTTGATTTTTCAGCAAAAAAAAGAGACATTTGGTGACTTGACCTAAAATACACTTTGCTACCCCCACATCTCCCTTAATGCAAAGCATGCTCCCCGAAACCTGGCATCTGCTCCCTCCGCCCATACACCTGAGCCAGCGCCCAGCATAAACATACACCTGCCGCCGGAAGGGGACACGTCGAGTTAAAGAGACCTCCAGCGGAACAACCGTAAGAGAACTACCCAGCGCTCGGCGGGCTCCTCGAAATGTTAACAACCCTGTCCTCAACTCACACACACTACTGTTCCGCAAGCAAGACGACACAGCCAGAAAAAGCAGAATTCCATCTGGAAGCAGACAGTCCATGTTTCAAGGTCAGGGAAATCGCAGCATGCGGGGGCAGGTGGCCCAATGGAAAGAGCTTTGGTATCACAGGGACTCCAGCGTGGCTGTAGGGAAGTTACCAAACGTCTCTGGGCCTGAGCACACTTTTTTTTTTTTCTTTTCGAAACAGATGTTAACACCTACCTTATCCAGCTGTTATAAAATTATATATACACATACACATATATGTGATTTATCACACTTGCTAGCACATGGAATTTGCTTAATAAACGACAGCAACTTACTACCCCTGGAGGAATCCAGCAAAGCCCACACAAGGGACAATTAGCTGAGGGACAAAGGGCTTTCTTTCCACAGTCACTAGAAGCCTTGGCACGCCACGGAAATCACTGATCGACCCTCACAGCAACACGGAGGGAGTGGCCATTTAACACAGTCTTGACCTTGCACATTTCCAATCCGCCAGCATATCCTGTTTGTTCTTCCATCAAAATACAGCTCAAAGACAACCGCATCTCAGCAATTCTACAGCCGTCTGCAGCTGCCCAGAGAGGCCGTGGTCACCCCTCTCGGGGCAGCTGCAAGAGCTTCCCCATTGGTGCCCTTTCTTCTGCTTTTGCAATATTGCGGGCTGGGCTCCCCAAAGCAGCCCAACTGATCATTTAAGGAAATAAATCAGATCATACTCACCCTCCAACACCTTCCCATCATGCTTAAAATGCCAAATATTTCCCACAGCCTCCAATTCCTAACTTGCTCTGACCCCTGGCTACCTCCCAGATATTATCTCTAAAACTACTTACCTGTATTCCCGTGCTCTGGTCACACTGGATGTCTTACTCCCGGAAACCTCAAGCATGCCTCAACCACAGGGCCTTTGCACGTGCTGCATGTTACTTGGCTCACGTCATCACTTTATTCAGGTCCCTGCTCAAATGTTACCTGCTCCTAAAGGCATTCCCTGATCACCAAGTCCATTACAAAATAACATCACACCCTACTTTCTATCCCTTCCCTGCCTCTTGACTCATTATAGCAATTTCATCACTTGCTATGCAAGCATACTAAATACTTATTCATATACAGAGTTTTGGATCTGTTGTCCACTACAACAGAAGCCCCGCGATGGAGGGCTTCTCCTGACTTATTTAATGTTATGTCCCCAGGACTTAGAATAGTTCCTGATACACAGCAGGGGTTCCATAGATATTAACCGACTGACATGAATTTCCGGCCACTCATCAAAACAAGTAGCTTGCTTTTCAACTTCCATTCTCATACAAGACCCATCTTCAACCACTACTACAATCCCTAGCCCATCCTGGAAAAGTCCTAAGGAATCACAGAGGCAGGGAGACCTCTAGTCTATGAAGGAGGAAAAATAATTTTCTCCCCCCCTTGCTATATCTTACAGAATCCAATCCATCAAAGGTTCTTAACGTTACAGAACAAGAGACTATCCAAGTGTGCAAGGTGGACGCACCAGGTGGTGTCTGTCCTGTGGTTCAAAGGCCAGATTGCATCCAGTGATACCCAGGAAGGAACATGTCCCTCAGGACCAACCCAAACAAAATCAGAACAACGCAACGAATACCATTGTTCAAGCAACCGAGTAAGAAAAATGTCCCTGTAAATACAGTCTCATAGACCACGAATGCTAATAATGCTAATGATAAAATACCATTTATGTGGCTAGCAAAAGCAGAATAGACATTTTGGCATCCTCTACAAAAAAAAAAAATCCCAAGTAAAACTCATCACTTTTTCCTTGGGGAACGGAAAGAAAAATCCTGAAGCGCTGCTGTTGCTACTGTCTAATGATTTTCGTTTCACCATCTCCACGCTAAGCCACGGACAAAACTCTGTCTGGCCAGCACTTCCACTGTTGGCAGCATTGTGATGGTAATGTGTTTTTATAAGAATTTCACATCTAAAATCCATCAAGAGCCTCCAGACTGAGATTTTTAAGCATCTTGTTGATTTCTTTCTCCACTTAAAAATACAGAACCTGCCTTTGGTCGAACCCTGATGTCCAGTAGATATCAGGATCCAATAGACCTGCCCTATGGAGTGGTGTTGGTTTTTATAAGGTGAGAACTCCTGACAACCCCGCTGTTTAGAATGGGGGCTCGGGGTGCGCTGGGCTTTTCTAGCATGTAAGAACCAATGCCCCAGAAGGCATTCAGTGAAGCCACCAGTCACGACCTTTGTTGACCGAGCAGGTCTGACTTATCATTTTCACTCTGTGAGGAGGGTGGATTGGCTGGAAGATCATCTGACATTTGATTGATATGGGTGTCTCCTTTTTCATGCTTGATTCAAAATTCAGAGTTCAAGTGGAACCTTATGAAGCATACAGCATATTATTAATATGGCCATCAGAGGAACAGGGATATCTCTCTCAATTTGGAATGTGATCGATAGCAATTCATTAAGAATTTACTCAGCAGCCATCCTAAATTAGATAAGGTAGATGGAAACACTTGCCACACTCGTGCAGACTTTCATTTTCCATCGCTTCTTTTAGGAATAGTGTGTGTGGATCACTTGCTTACAAGGCAGAGTCTGTTAAAGTTGTGGGACAAAAATCAATACCCATCTACCTTTTAGGTGGTACCTTTTCCACGTGTGATCTATGATGTCAGAATATAACCAAGGACACACTGGAACATGCCCAGGGGCTAACAGGGAAGGTAGAAGCTTGGGAATACCAGCATATCCACAAACGATGCCTTTTAACATTTTAAAGTCAACATTCTTTCCCACCAGCACTCCCATCCCAGGCAGGCTGTCCCTTTAGTTGCATGCGCCATTGTGCTAAGGCTCTGAACGTGTAGAACGACTCTTGGATCCCAGAACATTCCCCCGCCACTCCTCACAATGCAACTAACCATCACTCTCCTACTGTTAGGCATTAGTGAAGGGTTAAAAGGGTGTCGCCACTTCTCGCAGCGAGAAGCAGAGATATTTGGATCTAGAGGTTAAGCAGGAGTGGAAACAGGGCATCATCATCAAAGGGGCTTTATAGAAACAGAGTGTGCCATCACTGTACAATGAGAGCATGCATACCTCTTGAACTCACCCGGTAAGACTTGAAACCCTTATAAATGCTGACACGCACTACATAAATAGAACTGACCCTGCCTTTCAGAAAAGAGAGGGCTGGGAGCAGGTACCTAGCTCTCTGTCCTCCTTTTGATCCCTTGCCACCAAAGACTCTAAACAGGGTGTGAAGCATCGGCAAGTAAGCCTTCCTTTACTGTTGCATTGGTAAAAGGTAGCAGACGGGTGTCTGTTTGTAAGGTTCACTTGAATTGTGTGTGTTTTTGAAGGTCATGACAAGTTCAACTACACAGGGATGAGCGGTAATGTCCTCCCTTATTGACTGAAAGCAAAACATTGGCAAGATTTCCTGGTAATTGCTTTGGTCCTAGTTTAGGCTTAAAAAAAAGACTAAAAAAAGGAAAAAAAAGAGATCTGCTGTTAGTTAAGGCACTCACCTATCTTGGCATTTAATCAAGTAATCCCATGCTAATGAAAGTTCAAAGTTAACTGTTCTGAACCACATCAAAGCAAAAAAAAAAAAAAACAAAACAAAACAGGCATTATTTTGATGGAAACATCATGCAACTATGCAACTTCCAATTGCCAAAGTCCTGGTCTCAAAAACAAGACTTTTTCTAAGTCCTGCTACTTGAGCTATGTTTTAAGAGAAAGGAAATAGAGGATCTTTTGCTAATAGAATGACGATCCCCTTCTTAGGAGACACAGATAATTATATGCCCTAATGCCTCTAGCTTTATAAATTCAGTCTTTTGCAGCCTATAATATTCCATAAAGATCCCAAATAATTCACATATCAATTTCTGTGAACCCAGACATAATACGTTAAAAAAACATAGAAGTCACACATCTGTGTACCTAATCTCCCTGTTTGGTATTTTACCATAAAATCACTGATTATACTGTGAGATTTTATTGTGGATTCATCCAATACAGTCTTACTTTTCTGGTCCATGGATTATTAAAACCAGAAATAAAACATCAAAGTTAGCAAAATGCCTAATGTCTTCTTATATGGCAGAGCCTGAAGGCGCCAGCTATACTCCACAGATATATGATTTTTTTTTTTTAACTAAATTTTCTAGAGTGACCAACTGCAGCATGTGAAGGAGGAGGAAAAAAAAAAAAAGGATATTGAGACTTGGATGGATTGCATCAAGAAGTAGCAATGTTTGTTACCTGCAGAGGTGTTACAAGAAATTTCATCTGCTGCAACGAAGACGAACTGATTTCTGGAAGAGAAGATAAAATTCACAATACTGCTCGCTCAGGGGGGAATGTGCTCTCTGCCAATTGGTTTGATGTGTACAGATGAGGGGAGGGAAGGGGGGTGCGTTCGAATGGATGTTGCAGGGAAATGTGCTTGATGTACCTTGGACTTAGAGAGTTTAGAAAGATCATGAAACAGGCATGCGGGGACCTCTTAAAGGAAATCATGGTGAAGTCAGAATATGGACCATGTACAAGCTGTTGCACCAAATATTAATGCTATGTGTTACCAGAACATCATGCCAGGATATGTTTCTAACGCTAGAGCATTTCTAATTGTACTTATATGGATTTCTATGCTAAAAGGAGATTATATTAAAAAAAATCATATAGACTACTGATAAGGAAAAAGGGTATATACTACAGCTAGCTAGGAAAATTATAAAATTCCAGACTTTATTATTATACTATAATATCAAAAATTTTTCTAAAGGGAAAGAAAACCAAATGCTGTCATTTCAAAAAAGAATTTTATATGGTGCTGTGTTATGGATAATAATTTCCTCATAAACTAGGCTTGCTGTATAAAGAAGGTAAGAGAACTCATCAATTGAAAAAAAAAAAACAAACCCTGTCTTGCCAAATTATTTTTAATGATCCTGTATTAAAAAGAAAATATAAAGGGAAAATGCTATTTTACTTTGATTTAGTAAACCCAGAAAGATAATAAAACTCTCTTAAGATGTTTCCAGCTGTGACAGTTCCACGATGTAATGTGTTCTAATTCCGAGGTACTGTTTATTTCTCTAGAAATAAGCATGTCTATGTCAGGGAGATTATACAAACGGCCCAGTGAGGTTAGCTAGGCTCTTAAATGCCTCAACAGCAGCATTAGAGAGACTCTGAGTTCTCATTTGTTAGATTTTACTGTGCATAGGGATATTCAGAATTGCATTTTTTTTGGTCTTAGTGTGATTGGTTTTGTTGAAATGTTTCAATGCTTCAAACAGTATCTAGTGATTGAGCATTTCTTAAAACATCTTAGGGAAGTTTCACTGTTGCAAGAGATACACCCTGGAATATAAATAGAGCTGCCATTTGAATATTCCCCTAGAATTTAACATTCACTTGAAAATTCTAGTCATTTCTACACCAATGAAATCTAAACAAAATCATACATGCTGGGAGAATAGTATGTTTTTTTAAATGCTTTTCTTCCACATAACAAAAGTCACGGCTAAGTCATGTATCACCTTTCTTAAAACAATGTGTTCCTGTCATTGGAGTTTTGCTATCTTTCTGTTCTGACATAGACCTTTTGAACCCCATCAACATCTGGCTTCAGATTCCCTAGGTTTGCGGTGCAATAAAATTCATATCCCAGAAAACAAAGGAAATATTTTGGTTGGATATTTGTTTTGCCTTACCACCTTTGATGTACACAAGGGATGGTACACTTAATTACAAGTACACTTCTCTTAATTATAGGTACTCTTCTCAGGTACACTAAGTACGTGGAAGGAACTCTATTTACATGGTGCCCACAGGAAGAACACTACCAGAACCAAGAATGATGAGCTGGTTTACCCAAAGGGGCAAGCTCTTCGAAATAGGCATTCATATATCTATGAGGTATATGAGGCAGAACTTAACTAGTTAGGCTGCTCTATCCAATTCATACCACCTAACCCTAGAAGATATTGCTAGCTTGTGTTCCATTTCTGTCTTTCCCCAAAGGAACTTTCAGGTTTGTTACACATGAGAAAAGCCATTTGGAAGTAACCAACAGACATAAAATGGTGATTGTATAGGAAAACATTTTAAAATATAACCTACAAGTATGATTATAAAGACATTAGTCCTGTTTTTTAATTATTCCAGAATTTTATAATATACGATGGCACCCTTGAAAACATGCTTTTTGAGACTATGCACTTAACTCTTAAAAAAAAAAAAGCTACCATTTCTCCATTTCCTTCCTTCCTCTTTTCTCTTTTTTAGTAACCTATTTTTTTTTTTTTTACCCACAGTGTCTTTATGATCCCTGAGCAAGTTTGTGAACAAAAGGGACTGCTCCCTTTCACCCTCTTCAAAGCAGTTGGCTTGGGTGACTTCTGACTATGAAATCAAATCTACTTCAGAGCCCAAAGAGTTATCAATAGTGATATTTAAAGGATTATGCCATGGACTCCACAGCAATGCTATAGGAGTTACAAAAATGTTTTTTCTTTTCTTTTTTAATCCACATAAACCACCCCATCATATCCCAGAAAGGTCACCATAAACAGCCAGGAAAGTACCTTTCTATAGAGTTCATTAATTGCATGAGTTCAACCTGCATGATCCCCCCCACCCAACTATGCTTTCACCAACTGACTACATGTGCAATTAATAGGAAATGCCTGCCAAATCACGGACAGTTTGGGGTGGCCCACACGTCAGGCATTCTGGTAGACTTCTAAGGCACAGGTTTCATATTGGTGTCTATATCAACTATGTCATGCCGATTTTATTTACAGTTGTTTCTCCTACCTTGAACTTTAAGACAAATTACTTAGAAGGCCCATAAATGGATCATCTATGACCCTCTCCACAATGCCATTTACCCCAAATACCCAGAGAGAGAGAGAGAGAGAGGATCAAGGAGATCAATGATGTAGCGGAGAAGTCTGCTATTCCCCCCCAAAATTTAGGAAAAATTAAACGACCAGAGCAATGCAGGTGTGCTCTGCACAGTGGGGCCACCTCCCAGGAGAAGAAACCTGTACCAGGGTCTGTGTCTTTACGCTGACCCCGGTGTGCCGTCTACTCTCAACACAGACCCAAGGATTTGAACTTCAAAAATGCATCTGATTTTCAGCACACTGGTTTGTTCCTTGGCTGTTGATGATAAAGAAGGTCTGGCTGAGTAGTTAGCAACCTTGGTGGCACACTGTAAGCATCTGGTGCATTTCTAACATTTCCGGTGGCCAGGCTACACTTAAAGCCAATTAAACGGAGACCCCTGTGAGTGGGTCCTGGCATCCCCAGTTGTTATAGACTTCCAGGTGACTTTTAATGTGCTAATGTTCTCAGTTTGAGTTGAATGGTTCCCACCTTGGCCGCTCCCTGCATTCACACTCAGAGAGAGGTTCAAAGGGTGGTGATGGTGGGGCCTCCCCCCTGTGGGTTCTGGTTTAACTGATCAGGGTAGGATCTGGAAAGCAGCAGTTTAGAAAATGCTCTGCAGGAGATTCTAACAGGAGGGCACAGCTGAGCGGCAGTGGTATGGCGCAAATGCAAAGGAGTGGAATCACTGAATCTATGGCAACTCTTGCTTCTTTTTGTAACTTCTACTTGGCCTCCAGAGCAACCTCACTACCTAGACTTCTGAGAATGCAACCACAGAAACTTGACCCTGTGTCCAGGAAAGGCTACTTCTGATTTCTAGATGCCCGCTAGGAGGACCGACTTTAAATCTTATTCTCAAAGAGAAGCTGGCCCACGCTGGCTACCATGTCACCACACTGTGTGTATCTGATTCCCCACCTCTTCCTCTTATTTTACCATCGCCTATGGACTTACTTAAGATCATCTTTGTGTGGGTCTTTTCATTTCTCCTTCAGAGCCTGCATCTAATGCTGTCTTTACCAGTTCTTTCACCATAAACTCCTATTTTCAACCTCTCTTTCTGCTCCAACCATTTATAAAACTTCCCTGAAGATTTACTTCGAGTACTTTAAAAAAAAATTTTTTTTTTTTGCTCAGACTTTAGTGAGCATCAGATCACCTAGAATGCTTGTTAAAGGCAAGTTCCTGGGTTTCGATCCTGATTCCCTCAATCAGAATTTCCAGAAGAGAGATCTGGTAATTTAGACATTTAACAAGAGCCCAGACCTGGCTGTCGATCAGCTCAAGGGGACACCGCTCTTGCTATGCTGTACACAGCAGGTGCCCCATGAGGAATCATGACTCCACCTACTTCTTACCATGAGGAAGTTTGGGAAACCCTGCTGAGAAATCTGCAAGTTCATTCTCATTTTCTCTGCAAAGGTCACCTTTCCCAGGAAAATTGTTTGACTTGGGAAGGCTTTGAGGGAGAATAGAGTATTATTAATTTATGAAAAATAAACAAATGGTCAATGATCGAGGCCAGTGGAAAGGCTATGTTTGTCTTGACTCTTGGGAACGCTGATTGCAAAGGCTACTCCCTAACGTCGACTGAGCTCGTACCTATGTCGGGAAGTCGCCGAGTGTCATACCTATGTATTAATTCGTTTAATTGTTTTTACAATCCCTCTTTCCATCCCCATCTTTATAGGTGGGGAAACTGAGGCAATAGAAAGGTTGTATAATGTGAGCGAGCTGCTAAGTGGTGGAGGTGAAATCTGAACACAGTTGGCTTGGCTCAAGACCCTAAGGTTCTGCTTAGGAGCATTAGGGGCATTCACACACAGGGTATTCAATCAGCAATGGGTGTGAGGTCTCTAGAGAGGAATTTTTTCTTTTTTTTTTTTGAGACAGAGTCTCACTCGGCTGCCCTGGCTACAGTGCTGTGGCATCAGCCTAGCTCACAGCAACCTCAAACTCCTGGGCTCAAGCGATTCTTCTCCCTCAGCCTCCCGAGTAGCTGGGACTATAGGCATGCGCCACCATGCCTGGCTAATTTTTTCTATATCTTTTTAGTTGGTCAATTAATTTATATTTTTAGTAGAAACACGGTCTTGCTCTTGCTGGTTTTGAACTCCTGAGCTCAAGCAATCCTCCTGCCTCAGCCTCCCAGAGTGCTAGGATTACAGGCATGAGCCACTGCGCCCGGCCAGGAACTTAATATTGCTCTGAATCTTCCATTCCTCTGAGACAAAATCATAAGAGTGTTTGGATTCCTCTTTGAATATATGATTGAGGTTTGAGAGAGATAAGTGTATTCTGCTTTAACCACAACTGGACACGATGGAATACCATATGCCATGCTCTTTCTTTATATTCCTGTATCACCAGACCTCCTCATCTTTAAAGATGGTTTTCATAGGCCAACCATCTA